TTTTCCATGCAATATAGTCATTTTGGACGGGAAAAGAGGAGGCTTTAAAAAAACTTAAAACATGAACATGACATATTTAAGCAAAATACTTGAAAATAGAGAGTTCTTTTTTCTAATTGCCCGAAGGCCTGGGATTTGGATGATTAAAACAGGGTTCTCTGCAGGGAGTCCTTCATTTGGTAGTTTGAATTGCTGCTGTTTCTAAAGTAGACGAAGATAATTCCATCATTGTTTGATGCTAGGGTTTTTTGTCCCACTCCCACTTCCACCAACTATTCCTGCCATCTAGGAACCCAGTTATTCCATCTGTCTTCTAGTGAAGCAGCAATCATCTGTGTCAGACCACCTCTGTTAAACTTGTTCTGTGAAACCTGCAGTTTCACCAGAAATGGAGAAATCTCTGTGAAGTGTAGCTTTTGCCTCCTTCTCTTCACTCCTGCCCATGAACAAACAGCATTTTCCATGTGGAGTGTACCAACCAGAGCCACAAAAGAGCAGGGTGTGAGTGTCTACACTTCCAGCAGAAGGGATTTTTTAGTATAGTACTTAAGGTATTTAAAGTAAGTAGTAGCCAAGCCAACTTTAACCTCTTCTGCTCAAGACAGGGAAAGTGCTCACCTTTAATTTAACCAGTTGTGGTTTGGCATGTTTTTTCTCCATGCTGTACCATAGCTCTGCTCCCATAAAGGAGAAGTCTCTTCGAGTTCCCAGCAAGTCAGGGTTTCAGGAGAGCTCTAAGAACACAGGAGCTATCAAGAAAAGGAAAGTCATATTTTCTTTCAGGCAACGTATGATCTTGAAATCCTCAAGGAAGGCAAGATTCTCTATACTGGAATCTAAGGACAATTGCAAACACAGAGAAAAAAGCTGTAGTCTTGTGGGTGCCCAGAAAAGTTCCCATTTAAGGGCCTGTGTGTGAAAGATTACCTGTAGCTTGCCAGTCTCTTTCACACAGGATAGTTTCCATTTAGTGAAATACAGACTTCCGCAAACAGAGCAGTAGAGGTATTTTTAGGTGTAAATACATCATTCTGCCATGAAAACGCAAGTCATTTGGCCTATATTCTAACTGGTAGGGGTATTTTTGGGGGGGGGAGAGGTTGGATTCTAGTGGGTGAATTTATTTTTCACCAAGGGCAGTTTGCAGTTACTCTATATGTGAGATCAGCAGAATATGTCATTGTGGAATTTACATTTTGTTTTTCACAGTCTTTGCTTTTATCCATTTAGGCCTGTGAACGTAATCTAACGGTCATTCTAAAATGACTTTTGGATGGTCAGTCTGTTAGAAAGGCTAAGAGATGGTAAAGGTTGAGGTATTTTTTAACTGTAAATTCCTCTCTCTGATACTGTTCAGTGGATTTTTTTTATTACTTCTGTAGGACCTAAGTTGTTCCCCAAGCCAGATGTTTAATGTATCATAAAGATAGCAGCCTATTCTTTTCTCACCTCCTGTATCTAGCTGTCTTCTGCCGAGTCCCAATGATTATTGCCCACATTCACAATCCTGAAGATATTGAAGGATATCTTGTAGGATGTAGAAATCTAGATTTTAACTAATTTTTCCTTTTTTGTGTCTATTCTCTCACTCGCCTGGTTTGACCTGCATCATTGTTTTATTCGATTTTTTTTGTTTTCTCTTTGATTTTTCTCAAGAGATCTTGGAGACTCTGACCTAGTTTCAGTCTGTGGTTTCTAGTGGCATATTTTCCGAGTATTACTTGAGCATAAGGAAGCTCCCAAAAGGAACAAGAAAAAAAACCTCATAGTATTTATGGACAGTGGTGTAGTGAATAGAAGAGTGTTGTCAGACACAGGAGCTTAACAGTCAGCTAGGGATGGAATTCCCTGAAAAAGTGTAACTGCAAACTGCAGACGTGATGCCTGACTTGCAGTGTCCCTTTGCAGAAATTATTTAAAAGGTAAGACTTTTCATTTTTTGAGAAAAACTGTGAACTCCTAGAATACACTGTTTCACAGATTTAATATATATTAAACTTAGGTAAGCCAGGGAATTCAGAATTTTTGTAAAAAATATTAGGAGATACGTCAACACCAAAACTGTTTTCCTTTGTTTCTTCTGAAAGAGAAAGAAATTTAAGATATTGTATTTTCCTGATACGGTTTAAAAAGAAAAAGAAAAGAAAACCAACAAAAAAATCCCGTAAAGATTTCATCTCATCTAGTTTTAATTACAATACAGATTTTCCAGAACAGCTTTATTGAAATATTAAAATTAACTTGTGTAAAATTAACAACTGAAATCCAAGCAACAACTAGAAGACCTTGAAGTGCAGGTACACTTTGGTAAACTCTACTATTTTGTTTTTCCAGACTTGCAGTAATATTCCAGTATACATGGGATCTTGATACTCAAATCAGCATAAAATGCATTAACTTTTTTTTCCTTTGAGAGTATGAAAAAAAGCTTTTTATGGCATTCCTTATTCTTTGGAATGTAACAACTGGAAAAGTGGTAGTTGCATCTGATTTTTGTGTGTTCATATAGGCATTTGTTGTAGCAGCTTAGAGATATTTGTAACATTCTCAGTCATTTAGGAAGTTCATAGTTACTAAAATAGCATAAGCCACATTGGTTTTTTTGTAAATGTTTGGCTGATTTGAAGATGTTATGCCAAGATATGTTCCTGGACATTGTTATCTTAGTTTTTTGTTTTGAATAGTCGAAACAGTTACTTTAATTGGCAGGCATCCCTTGGACACTGCAGCTTGTAGCACCACTAGCACTCGCCAAATGTCTGACTTTCAGGCTCAGGCTGTTTGATTTATCAGGTGGCAGAATGTATTCCTATCTGTTCTTCTGCCTTAAAGATAAGTAGCCAGAACAGTGTTCAACATGAGTGCACTGTCAAGCAAAAATGTTTTTATGTGAGTGGCTCACTCTTCTCACTAAAAGAGGGATTTGATTATTGTCACCTGGAGGAGCTAGCAATTAAAATTAAATGTTTGTTCTAGCACATTTTTGTATTAATAATTTCATTTTTTGTTTGAATTATTGAAAGAACTCTTAAAGTAGTTAAGATACCCTCTCAAAATTAAATTCAGTGCTGACACAATATAGACATACCATATCTACCTTTGTGGTAAGGTATATGAAATGAGCAACCTTGCAATATTGCAATAAGTGGATTGGAATACAAAATAAGCAACCTTGCAGTGATTAAGATGAGAATGGCCAAAATGCTGTTTCTCCTTCCAGCAACAGATGGTTTCTGTGAAAGCCTTTGTTTCACAGAAGTAGTACACCTTTTGTTGTGAGTGTTGGCAGTATGAATCTTGGAAACTGGTGTTTCCTTTTCACACTTCAGTTTTTATGGAATGTGCTTAGGTGGCGAATACAGACAGTGGCTGTTAAGCAGTTTTTTGCATCCCAAGAAGAGCAAATACCAATTTATAGTGCAGGGAATGATGAGGCATGGAAAACTTAATTTGTATTGTAATTATACCTTTGTCTGGGTGCTTTATAGTGTCAATAAACTAATTTTCATAATTACAGCTTCACTTGGGAATTTTGAGTTACACCTGCTTCTCAACTTGTAAACCACTGAGTCTGTGGAAGTGTCTTAATGCCCTGTGAGCTATAGCTTTCACAATGTCATGTGTAGCTATTTGTAAACCTTTACTGTTACCTTTTCAGACTTAGCACGGACCACAGTCCCATAAATATTTTTTTGCTTAGGTGCATATATGATTTCCGTGCTAATACTCAAGTTGCCCTTCAGACACCTGTGACTGTCAAAGATGTGCATATGCTGTGAATGTAAAAACAGTGGGCATGAGTATTCTGCTGGCTTATCTCTGTATATATATGTGTGAAAAGGGAAAGAAATTACAGTTTTTCTGGGAATTGAAGCTGTTGTTAGTGGCAAGAAGTAAAGTTAGAAGAAGGGTAGGTTTGACTAAACCAAAGATAATGAAAGTTTTGGTTTTATCAGAGAAATAAAGCTGATAGAACTGCAGGATAAAATGAGTATAAAGGATGTCAGCCTTGTGTTATAGAGACTTTCTGTAGCAAGCATGAAAAAAAGGAAAGGAATTGGCAAGATGGATAAGGAAAGAGATACGATGTATAATATAAAGTATGCTTAAAAATTATTTTAAAATCAGACTTTGGCAACAGAAAATTATAACAAAGATGTCCGGCATCAAAATGATAGATTGTGTTTGTTTTAGGAAACTTAAGTGGTACCAGGCAAATGCGCATTTTGAGAATAATAATTCAAATGACCTTTGTAGAACCTTGCAATCACTTGAGTACTTTCACTACATTTCTTTCTGTAAATTAACTATTTTTGTATTTGTGTTACAGATGGTAGTGTGATGTGTTAGATGCTTTAAACTGTAATTGGTTTTGATCTGTATGTTGCTATTAAATGATGTTCCCTGAATTACGTTGACTGTGTTATGGCTGCCATCAAAGTGGCAGTTGTGAAGACCCATGAGAGCTGGGGATAATGGCACAGGTGGAAGTGGGAAGCCAGTCCATGATCTTAATAAAACCACATAGATAACTTAGGCCCTGTAATTAATTTCTGTATTTTTTTCTATAATTTCCTTAACTTCATAGGTCCTTTTATTTGAAAAGACATTGTGTAATAATGATGGATTGACTAAATCACAGTTCAAGATTGTTAGATACTGGTGACTAAGAACCAAAGAGAATTTTCATGTTTTCTAAAGAGGAAAAACAGGGAATCTTCTCCTGGGTTTGTTCTTTATTAAGGTAGTCTTCTATTTTTTTAACAGTTATTTCTCGTATTTTTAGGGCTATATCCATGAAAATAAAAATCTGGAGTCAGTCTCTTGTTTCTGATTTCCACCTGCTTTTTCCACCTGATTTCCACCCTCAGGTTATGGCTGGTGTGAGGGAAACCTTTCTTATTTTTATATATATTGCAGTACTGGATTTTTTGTTTGGTTGGGGTTTTTTTTTTTGACATAGCACTGTTTTCACAGCAGTGGATTTTCTTTTTTTCCAGAACCCTGTCAAGAAAATTCCAGATTCTCATGAAATTACACTCCAACATGGGACAAAAACAGTAAGTGGTAACACATTTTGAACATTTCTTGTTTTTGTACAACTGAGACAGCGTATGAAATAAGTTAACAAATACTTATTGTCAGCTGAGGTTCAAAGAGCTAATCCTTTTTCTTAATTTACTATTTTGGTCTAGCTCTTTTCTTACTGCAATTGAAAGTGTGTTTTAGGACTGCCCCTTTGCTTTCTTGTAATAATGCAAACATGGCTCCATTTCACTCACTTGTAGTCTCATTTTCTTCTTCCTTTTTGTCAAATACACTCTCTGCAATTCTTAGAGTTCCTCTTCTAGTTTAGACCTTCTTAATCTAGACATGTCTAATCTAGACCTTTCTTTCACTGGTCATGGATTTCAAAGAGAATGTTATTGCTGAATACTACTGCTGAATAATTCTACAAAGAGAATATTCTTTGTAGCTGAATACAGGTCTCCTTCGTTCTTCTTGAATCTTTAAGTGCCTTTTATATACCATTCTCAATTCCTTGAACCCTTGTTCTTCCTTGTCTCTGCATCTTTTCTAGGTTTCACCTCCAATATTGCTCCTTCACTTTCTTTTAAAGAACCAGTGTCTGACTTGGAACTATCATTTCTTTGTTCTCAATATTTTGTCTCTCGGTAATCTCTTTTTCCAACACAAATTCAACTGCTTTTATGTGCTGATTGAGCGAAGATCTATTTTTATAGAATGGAATTTATTTTCTGGCCATGAATAGCCCTGAATCTATTCCCAAATCCTTCTCCCATATTCTTCTTTTGTCATTAAGAAAGATGCTGCTGCTGTTTATCCTCTTCAGTTTGGGCCATGACTTAGGCTTCAATGAGAATGTAATACTAGAATTTCTTTTATAGTTATTATATCCCTGTGAAAGCACTGTCAGCTAGTTGATAGAATTCTCACTCATGGCATTCAATCCTGAGAATTTCTTTGGAGAGGGGAAAAAAATTATTTGAGAAAAGTGCTTTTTCATGAGGTTTTAAACAATCTAATGAAATGTGTAATTTTCCTTTGTTGGATTTTTAAGACGACTTGTGGATTCATTTTCTGTTTATGTAATTAATATAATCATACACTTAATAATTTAACATTCAACAATATTAAATAATTATTTTAAATATTAAAGTTACTAAATTAACATATACCTCAAATTAAAACATTAAACATCAATAATTTATGAGTTTAAGGTTTGAATTTTTAATAACTAATTTCTTAATATTAGACATTTTAAAGGTATTTTCTGGGTGTTTAAATATAACAGTAAAGATCATAAATTTTTTTTATAAGCTTTCAGAAATAGCTACTTTCGGAAGTGTCTATTCATTAATCTGGCATGAAACTTTGTGGTCTATCTTGGAGTGTGGAGAGGTGATAAGGCTTACCCATTTGTTTTATCATAATGCTAGACATACAGACATAGAGGGAGGAAAGGAAAGTAACAAATGTGTTATAAATGAAAATAGAAAAATATTCTCTTTTAAGACCTGTAAAAGATGCATTTACACTAAACAAAATTAGAGTGGATTTTTATGTACACAGTGCATGTAACTTCTGTGCATACTAATTTCTATGCATATTAAGATTTGCATACTAGTGTACTAGTGCAAACCAGTTTCCCATTTTACATGTGACAGTAATTGCTTCTGTGTTATGTTTCTTGAATAAATTTCCTAACAAACTTTATTATATAAATTTTTTTGAATTATTTTTCACTATATTAAACCAGTAAATCTTTTGATGGCTTCTTAAAGAATAAGGTCATGTTATTTCTAACTGAAGGGCTTTGTAAAGTGGAGGTTACAGTTTTGGAAGACTTCTGAGGTATTTTGACTGCATGAGAATGCAACTGTCAGCACCTAGAGCAGAGGTGAATTATAATGTGGGTATATATAGTGCAGTTGGATTAGAGTGGATGCAGTGAATGAAACATATCGTTGAACAAAACAGCACTTCTGTAGAAGGACTACCTTTTTGTTTTATTTGCTTGTTTTATAATACTGAAACTACTTACCCATGTCATTACACACATATAAGGATAGGAGCAACTTCATATCTTGATATTGGTGTTTCACTCCAACATTTTAAAATACAGTCTTCTCATTATGTTCACACAATGTACTGTATTTCAGCTAAACTTATGTGTCCCATCTGTACCTCTTCAATCTAATGAACGTGGGTTTGATGATGACTCTATTCCTGTGCAGCTGAAAAGTCTCAGAAAAGATTTCCCAAGCTGGAGAGTCTTTCCAGAAATCTGATTAATTTCCCAGTTGCCTTGCTTGTACAGTGTAATAGAAGTTACTGTTCCCAATGAAACTTCAGAGATATATATTTTTTTTTCTCCCGACACTTTTGATACATAGATGGGTATGAGAAAGAATACATAGTCAGAGGTATTCTGAACAGTGTGCTTTCTAATGTCTCATGCCACAGCTGCTCCTTCCTATAGTAGTTACTGTAGAATAGAACACTTGAGTCTATTAATTGAGTGCATGATTAATCTGGTGATGCTGTTTTCCTGCATGTTAGAAATCATGAATGAAGTAAATGGGGTTCAAAATTTGCATTTAAAAGGTAAAAGGGACATTTTTTTTTGGAAACACATAAGAGGTTGCATCTATTTCACTTGAAAATCAAATATGTCACAGTGACATAATCACTAAGTGGAATTTAGTTCATTCTTAGGGATAGCACAAAGCAGTACCTTTAAACATTTGATTCAGGGAAGTAAAAAGAAAAATGTTAACTCTATTAGTAACTCTGTAAATTGGATTTTTTGGGGGCACTGGATTAGGACATCTGATGAACCTTTGCATTCTTTAGAAGAATAAGGTTTTAGATGTTTTCTAAAAGATTTCTGCAAGTGAATGCTTCTAAAATAAAGCAGGACAATTAGATTAAGGAGGAGTCAGCCATCTGGTGAACAGCAGCATCATTTCTGCAACACCTTGGTTTTCTTGAAAGTACTTTTTTCGAACTGTTACCTTTATGATGGCACTGTATGTCTGAAATACAGTGAGGTACCAGCATGAGGAGCTGCGTGCTTAAGGAGAAGATGACTAGAAATGAGTCTTTGGTAAAATAAGGAATACCTAAGTGAACCTTTTCTATATGAAACTGGAAGAAGAAAACTCAAAAGAAGCCCATACTCTTTCATATAAAGAAACCATAATTTTAGCAAAAACAAATTGTCCATCTTAAACTTAAAGAATAAATTCCATTAATAACTGTTGTTTTTATTGAAACATTTATTTCTGTAGGTTACTTTTTCAATGGGACATGGAAAAGGGAATATCTCATGCTAAATTCCATTTTTTAAACAGTGTTTTGCGTGGGAACTGTTCAACAGTTTACATAAGTTTTAAAAGTCTTCATAACACAGTGTATATACTAAAGCTTTAAAAAAAAAGTACAGTAGTATACTGATATATCTTTAAGACAAGTGTTTTTTTGGTGGAACTTCTATGTGTCTGCATTAAATCATAGTGACTGTCAGTACTTTTCAGGTATACATGTAAAGAAGATACATACAGACGAGCATCCTTATATGCAAATTACTGTATTTTTTATACATTAATATCTGGAGTTTTTAGTACAGGTTTAAGCATCTGAAAGTAGTTGGCCTGATTCCCCCCCTCCCCCCCTGCCTGAAGTTCAGTGTTGCTAGCCTATAGCCATGACACTATTCTCAGGTGTTACCTTTCACTCAGAAATTAAGGTTTTTTCCTTCTGTTATTGTGTATACAGTTTTTCTGTTTGGTTGTTCCACCCCCCCCCCCCCCCCTCCCCACCCTCAATTTTCTATAATTCCTCCACAATTTTCTTGGTGGAGTATAAGGTTATTTTTTTCCCTTCAGAATTTTCTGGCTCATCTCTTCTGATCCCTTTCCAGGCATTTCCTAGAACTACGTTTTAAAAAATTATTATTATCACTTTATTTTCTTGTGTTGAAGACTGTCTTCCTTGTTGTGTAAGGGTTTCTGAATCTGATTATTATCTATCTTATGTTTTTGGGATGACCCCGGTTTTTGTCCAGTGGTTAAAAGTCATCCTCTGGTTAGAGTCTAGGTTTTACCCATGGTCTGCCTAATTTGAAATGCCTAATAGAAGTTAAATTCTGTTCTAGGGGTTAAAACTTAAGCATGAATTCCGTATGAGTTTTATCTTCCCATGCGAAGTTTTGCAGTCATTTTAACATTTCAGGTTGGGTGTAATTTTGAGTAATTCTAGAAATACTTTAGTATTACAGTTTTTGACATCCGTTTTCAACACTATCTCATGTAGATGACTTAATTTTGGAGAGTTAATGTCTTTACTTGATTTACAAACTAATTTACCACATTGTCTAGCTAATCTTGGGTTAATACGTGAAATCATGGTAGCAGATAATATTTTCACAAATGAGAAAAGATAAGACATCATTTTGAAGGTAAATGAAAGGATGTTTAATTAATGAGATGCTTTCTGTTACTCTCACTTCCCCATATGGTGATTTGAACACTACTATAATAAAGTTGTTGTCTCAAGTAGAGAACTAAAATAGGATTTTCACTAAAAATCACATTTTAATCAACCTTTGATTTGAGGATAACAAATGAGAGTAATGGGTATTAAGCATTCTTTCCTCAAGGTTCTGAGTAGCTTTAAGCTGCTAGTTTTCTATATAAAACAAATGGGTTTTGGTAAGTTTTTTTGAGCTTTTTTAGTTAAAATAGTATCTCTTTAAAATTTGTGATTTTTTTTTTTTTTTAAATCACACTCATACTTTATTTTTTCTTTTCTTTTTTTTGGAAGAGAAGTTTAACCAAACAATGCATCTACACACATGAACTGTCTTGAATAAGCTAGCGCAAAACCTTAAACCGATGGTTGTTAAATGCCATTTCAGTATCTTGCTAGAAATATTATTGGTACTTTTGAGAAAAGTCTAGAGTACAATTTTCTTCGTAGCAGAATTTGAATACATTTCATTTCTATGAGATGATTAGAAAGCAAACATTGTAAACTAACTTTTCTCATCTGTCTTCAGTGGTTTATTCAGATTATGTAATTTCCATTTCCATTCTCCCTACCCCTTCCAAAGAACTCACACATTATACAAGGTAGTGAAAATTCAAAAACTAAATATAACTGATATATTTTAGGAAGAAGCTAGCACACTGAATTATTTTTTTTTACTTTAGTAGTATTTTATATTTTGGTGACATCTGAAGAACTGTAGAAAAAAATAATAAAAAGCTTGAATGATCTTAATTTTTAAATTTTTTTTTTCATACAGGTTTCTGCTTTGGGGTTGGATCCTTCAGGTGCCCGTTTGATAACTGGTGGATATGACTATGATGTTAAATTTTGGGATTTTGCTGGAATGGATGCCTCTCTCCAAGCTTTTCGGTCACTCCAGCCTTGTGAATGGTAGGCACAAAGACTGCGTTTTTCACCTAAGATTGTGCCTATGTTAAGCTCCTAATAGAATGCACAAAAGTCTTGTAAGATAGCTTGTTTAAAAGGCTTTTGTATCCCATTGTATTTTTTGTGGCAAATGGAATGTGAACCTAGGAAATTATGTCTTGGGTCTTTTCATGCTTTTTCCAACAACTTGAATATTTTCTTCCTTTAGAAAGCTACAGGTGAGTTTGCAGATGAAATTGTTAATAGCATATCAGCAAATAGATTATGAACCTCTCAAAGAGACAGGTTGACTTTCATAGTTGTAATTGAAATGAATTGAATACACTTTCCATATGTACTCTGCTTATATAAAGTTAATGAAAAAGAGAAGAAAGTTAAAACAGTTGACCCCTTTGTGGAGAGCCTGTGTAGTTGCTGCCAGTATTTCTGAGTGGAGGGGTATCTCATTTTCATTAAACCCTGTTTCTGGAAGCACTGATCCTTTGCACTGCACTGATAATTGAGTAGCTACATAGTGTGCATTGAAAAAAGTATAAATCTATTGTCTTTTTTGAAGAAAAAAGCTATATATTTATTCACATTTACATATATATACTTATATATATGTAAATTTAAAAAAAGATACAGGAAGCATTTTTTAGAGTGTGATTTCCATACAATCCACTAAGTTCATTTACTTATTCCAGAGAATTGGAATACGGAACTCCTTCAGAAAG